CCACTTCCCTAACTTCCGATTGGTCCATTTTGTAGTACTTCATTTGCATGGAGCTCACTCCTAATTGGTTATTTCTCTCACTCCTGATTGGTCCATTCTCTCACTCCTGATTGGTTATTTCTCTCACTCCTGATTGGTCTATTTCTACAAAGCTTATTCCTGGTTGGTCAACTTCTGTTATACTTTATTTGCATATGATGTTGCAAAGTATAAAACTGACAGCCTATAAAGGCCTGTGTAAACCTACAGATGGGGTCCAGAGCTTGGAGTGTTACCTCCTCTGGGCCCGCTGGCATAATAAACCTAAGTTCTCCAGCTCTCTAGTGCTGCTCGGTCTCTCGCCCGGATTCAGGTTGCTGTCACAACTGAGCTGTGACACCGAGCTGTAACACATTTTTCCAGAACAGGAGGACAACCAGCGCTTTGGTTTCCTTGACTTTTACTCAGGATCTGCACTCTGAAGGGAGAGGTATGGATATCGCTCTCCTCACCCAAGGCCTTTTCTCCCTTCCAGCCCTTATCTCCTTCCTCCACCCTTCCGGCCCTTATCTCCTTCCTCCACCTGGAGTCAGCACTTACTGGGACACTTATAAGAACATGCATCAGAAAGGTTTGGAGGTGGCTGCTGGAGGGAAGAACCTACCTGTGCTTCTACCAACAGATAATCTGAAGCTGAGTCATCAGTGTCTAATTTTGGGTGTCACGTTTCTAGTGGAGCCCGCTAAGCCATGTGGTCCCACCCAATCAGTTGCAGGCACTGTGAAACAGACTCTTGGGTAATGTGTGTAAGTTTGTGTGTGCTTATCTGTGTACATGTTGGGTGGGTTGTTGACTTTGGAGTGTCAACGAGGGGGCAGGGAGAATAATGATCAAATGTCTCATTTGTCTTTGAATGCTCAACAATGCCCCCCGGCATGGGGCCTCACACCCTTAGCCACCCAAAAAAGATTTGTAGACTAGGTGACAGAACTTCCACTGAAGTCAGCTAGACTCAGCTGAGTCCAGCTTTCTACAAAGAGGTTTTGCGAAGGGAAAACCAGAAGTTCTAACACCTAAAGGTGGCCCAGGGAAAAATATGGCCAGTGTAGCAAGGCTCTCAGCAGGAGCCTAAGCTGTAGCCATCCATTGTAAGGATCTTCAAAGATCAGGGCCTAACAGGCAGGCTGGCAGGAGGACATCCCAGGACTTAATGTCTAAAGACATTAAGCATGTCACTTGTTCATGCTCACTCATGGACAGTGCAGCTTAGAGACATTAAGCATGTCACTTGTTCATGCTCACTCATGGACAGTGCAGCTTAGAGCCTAGGTTCTGAGGTCACCGTAGACTGGGTCTAAGCTCTGGCTCTACCTTGGGCAACTGACTTCTGTTACCTAACCTAGCAGATAAAGATGATCAATTGCACCCCACCCCATTGCCATAAGAAATGAATGAGACAGGATATGTCAGTCACCCAGCACCATGCCTGGCACCAGAAAACACCTAATGAATGAAAATCATCATCATCATCAAAGCCTAATAAAGTAGGTAAGTACTCCTCCAGCTCTGAGAGTCCCTAACAGTTCTGTGACTATGATGTTTATTTCCAGGACAATTAAGCTGAATGATAAAAGTGATCAAATGAGTTTTCAGATAAAGGTCTAAGGATTAATGCATTTATTTCAAGAAGTTGTGAGATAACGTTTTCCTAGCAAGCATCATTTCTTTACCACACTCACACCAAGTGCCACTGTCTCCCACCATTGGGATCAAAGGCCAGTTGCTCTCTGCAGTTCCCAGATTTGTGGGTCTAAACCAAACCCACAAGTCTGCTCTGGGAATGGAAGTTTAGGACTGACATGAATCACAGCCCTGGGCTATTTCTTTGTCTTGGAACATTTTCCATGAAAGTATTCCTTTCACTTTGCTGAAAGACAGGATGTTCCAAATCAGTGAATCACTTTTATTTATAAAATGTAATGGATGAGGTGACATCAGTGAAAATGGCAGAATAAGAATCTCCAAATATCTTCTCCCCCCATAAAAGCAGTGAGAAAAAAAGCAAAAGCGATCAGAACCAGCCACTCTGTGCTCTTTCACGTACCAAGCTGCTTAGGGAAGCCCATACTGAACTAAAACCAAATCAATTTTAATTGAGTCTGTTTACTAATAGTAAACAAAAGTAAACAAATCGTTATTAACTCATGGCATTCACCTAAAGCATGCATTTCAAAGGAAGTACGATATTACCCAGCGCGGGGACAAACTGATGTCCTGACTGCTTGTTGCCAAAGCCAACTGAACACATGAGTTTATCTTCATTCCTCCCTTGTCAAATAGAAAAGGCATTCCTGTCTCCTCCCCACAGACACACACACCTGTACACACACACACACAGAACCAAGAGAAGAGACAACAGTCAACAGAGATCATGTATTTGGGGAAGATGTGAAGCAGTTTGGAGGAACAGTACCTGACGTAGCAGGGTGGAGAAAGCTGAAGCCCAGTGCGTGGACAGGGCCTGCCAGTGAGAAGTGGGTTGATTTGCTCCACAGAACCCAAGAAAAGCTCAGGAATTTCAGGCATTAGGTACTTGTGGGTGGAGGTGAGGGTGAGGCTGAAAGCAGGAGAACTGGTTGAGCATCTTTTGCCTGGGTCCCTACGCATCTAACCCCCAACAGTCAGTTACCTATTCTTCCCACATCCTTATGGAAGAGAGAGGGGTTTGTTTCCAGGGAGCCTGCACCGGAGATCTGGACCCAGGAGCCTCAGGCACTGTGAGAACTAGAGCCTTAACTGGACCCAGAAACAGGAATTAAGAGAACTTCTAGACATATACGTGGCCAACAGGCACGTGAAAAGATGCTCAACATCGCTAATTATTAGAGAAATGCAAATCAAAACTACAATAAGGTAGCACCTCACACAACTCAGAATGGCTATCATCAAAAAGTCTACAAGTAATAAATGCTGGAGAGGGTGTGGAGAAAAGGGAACCTTCCTGCACTGTTGACGGGAATATAAATTGGTGCAGCCACTATGGAAAATAGTATCCTTAAAAAACTAAAAATAGAGTTACCATATGATCCAGCAATCCCACTTCTGGGCATCTACCTGCAGAAAACTCGAATTCGAAAAGACATATGCACCCCAATGTTCACAGCAGCACTATTTACAATAGCCAAGACATGCAAGCAACCTAAATGTCCATTGACAGATGACTGGATGAAGAAGCTGTGGGATGGGGGGGTGTATATACACACATACATACACACACACACACACAATGGAATACTACTCAGCCATAAGAAGAATGAAATAATGCCATTTGCAGCAACATGAATGTACATAAAAGTGAAATTAAGTCAGACAGAGAAAGATAAGTATCATGATTTCACTTATATATGGAATCTAAAATATGATACAAACGAGCTTATTCAGAAAACAGAAACAGACTCACAGACACAGAAAATAAATTTATAGTTACCAAAGGTGAAAGGGAATAGGGGATAAATTAGGAGTTTGGGATAGCATGTACAAATTACCATATATAAATTAGATAAACAACAAGGTCCTACTGTATAGCACGAGGAACTATATTCAACATCCTGCAATAAATCATAATGGAAAAGAAATGAAAAAGAATACACACACACACACACACACACACACACATATATGACTGAATCACTTTGCTGTACACCAAAAACTAGCACAACATTGTAAATGAACTTTACTTCAATTTTTAAGTTATATAATCAAATCTAATACTTTTTTCCTCTGCAATTCATTCATTGCTGTTATTTCAGAAAATCTGCCTTATTCTAAAATTAGATATATAGTTTCAGAAGTACTTAATTCTTTAATCAATATGGAGTTTACTTTAGTATGTTTATAAAGAATCTAATTTTTTCAAGTTAATTAATCAATTATCTAGCACAAAATATCTCTCCTTTACCCTACTGCTTTGTCACACCATCCTCATCAAATATAAAGGTCTTCTATATTCTAGAATCTGTTTTTGAGCTCCATTCAGTTTTCTTAATTTTTCGTTCATATGTTTACAATATGTCTTTTGTCTCCTGAGATTCTGGTTTCTAGTTACAAATAAATAACAATAGTCCATCAGAATACTCCCAAACAACTTCATATTTTCTTATTCTTTCTTTTTTATTTTTTGGCATCTTACTGATTAGTTACTTACCTAAAAAAGCTCATATTTATCAACTATATGTATGTGTACTTGAAAATTTTTAGAAACAGGAAAGCATTTTCACATTTTTGAAAGGAAAGAAACTAGTAATATTTTTTCTTCCTGCTGTTAATACAGTAATCTACTGAATATCTCTGATGATTTTAATAATTAATTAATCTAACAAATACTATGTGCCAGCCATTTTTCTAGGTGCTAGGTACACAGGATAAAAACAGACAAAAATCCCCACCTTTGTGAAGCTTACATTCTAGTGGGGGAGACAGATAAGAAGATAGGTAAACATTAAATGTAGTGTATCAGACTGGAGAAAAATAAGCTAAGAAAGTGGGACAGGAAATACTGAACAGGTGACTAACTACGACCTCAGTGAGAAGGTCATATAAGTCAAGACCTAAAGAAAGTTGAGCTTTTACTTTTCTTCTATAACTTGACACATATGGGTTACTTATGTGGAAATCCCCAGCGTATCTTCAGATATATTTTAACTATATCTTAAGTCAATTAGATTAATCATTCATTGCTTTTCTACTGTGATGAGCAAAATGTTAATCTTGATATATCAAAAGGAATCACTGCATATTTTACACATCAAATACATCATGAGTTCATGGTCTACAATATACTTACGGGAGTGAAGTAGCCTGTCGGAAATCTTTGAACTGTAGAACGGAATGTGAAGCTCCTATATTAAAAAAAAAAAAAAGATATGATTTTCTGAATCTATTTTTTAACGTGAGGATCTTTAACATACTCTCTCTCATTAAATATTTAAAAATGCGAAACTGGACATGATGGGCATGAATTAGGTTTAAAAGTCATTGGTGTTGGCTGTTAAGTATGTAAATAGAAAGGCATGAGTAAAATTAGTAAAAGCAACTTAATAAGTATGTAATTACCTGGAAGCGTGCTTGGGAACTGGTGCAGGAAGGAGATCGTACTGTCCTGGAGAAAGCTTAACTGACTACACAGAATGGACAAGGACACAAGTAATAGATTAGCATAAGTCTCAGACTCCGTTCATTTTATTATCTGTCATTTGTAATCCTTTATTTTATGACCATACAACATTATATAATTTCTTTTCTTTGATTTTTAAATTATTTGTGTGTGTGTGTGTGTGTGTGTGAGGGGAGGTAATTCAGTTCACTTATTCATTTATTCATAAGAGGAGGTACTGGGGATTGAACCCAGGACCTCATGCATGCTGAGCATGTGCTCTACCACTTGAGCTATACCCTCCTCTCTATTTTCTATTTTACTAGTGGAAAAGGTACATTTTTAAAGGCAGAGCTTCAAAACATACAACAGATATTCACTTTTCACGATGAATTTTATGACAGTATGCCTCCAGTGGTGTGTAGAAAAATGCTGTACAATTGATCACATTTTAAATATACTAGATTCAACAAACCCAACTGACCACCATTAATGAGCCTGCTCTGTTGGTAAAGAACAGTGCTGGGTGTGGTGAGGAATACAGGAGTGAGAAGGCATTTACACAAACAATTCTAATATAAAACATGTCATCAATACTAAAATAAATATAGGAGATCTGGGGGATAGGGAGAGATTAAACTCAGCTGGGTGACCCACAGCAAACGTCACACACTCAATGGCAAAAAGCTAAAAGCTTTTCCTCAAAGGTCAGGAATAGGACAAGGGTGCCTGTTTCCCCATTCTTATTCAACATGGTACTGGAAGTCCTAGCCAGAATAATCAGGCAAGGAAAAGAAATAAAAGGCATCCAAATTGTAAAGGAAGAAGTAAAATTATCCCTATTTGCAGGTAACATGCTCTCATATATTAAAAACTCAAAAGACTCCAGGAAAAAACTGTTTGGACTAATAAGCAAATTCAGTCAAGTTGTAGCATACAAAAACAGCATACAAAAATCAGTTGAGTTTCTATACACTAACAATGAACTATCTGAGGAGAAATTAAGAAAACAATCTCATTTACAATATCATCAAAAACATAAAAAAATACTTAGAAATAAATTTAACTAAGGAGATGAAAGATCTGTACACTGAAAACTATAATATATTGACAAAAGAAATTGAAGAAGATACAAATAAATGGAAAGATATCTCAAGTTCACAGACTGGAGTGTCAGGAACTGGTAAACACAGAGAGTGGGACAGGTGAAGGAAGGGAGGGTGGGGGGGAAAGAGAGTGAGAAGCCAGGGGAAGACTGACCTGACCGCACCTCCACAACTTCCTACATTCAGGGAGCTGGTGGGGAGGAGTTGTATTACAAAATCCTGAGAACCCTCCCAGAAATGGACAATCTCTTCCCCCAGCACTTATTATTTTAAAATCAGATTTAAAAATACAATACTGCCTTTGTTGGAAATGAGGCATCCATCGCCTGGCATTGTCTGCCATGTGGAAACTCAGCTATTATATTTCACCCTGCAGCTGCCTTTCACACATTAATAAACAATTCTGATTGCAGAGGCAGCTTTTTTGTGGATTCAGCGATAATAACAGTAAATACAAATTTTATGATGAGATACACACAATGTCCTGATGCACCTGGGCCTTGTTAATTGCTCACTTGACATAATAAACACCAAGGAAACACGGGTATTTTTTATTATTGTTACTGTTATTACACCATGGGAGCACAGAAATGTATTTTAAGCAGGGGGCCTTTTTTGATTTTGGTGACGATTACATGGGGGTTTGCTTTCTACTTACTTTACTCTGTGCCTGTGTGCTTTATGCTCCTTGCTCTCTACTCATACGTGTGCCTTCCCCCAAGGCACATATACACATGTACACAGGAGGAAAGAGAAGAAAGGTAACTGAAAAGTGAAAAGAAAAAAAAATCCCTTAAAGCATCTGTTTATTCGTCTATACTCAGTAATCGCATAAGATTTTTAACTGAAGCAATCATGGACAAACTCTTAGACAGCATTTGTCTAGAGAGGAATATTGGTTACCTGTAGCCCCTGTCTGTCCTGCTTCACTTGGCATTGGCCGTTCTTTGCTCCTTAATATAGCTGAGAGAGGTCTGACTTTTTTTCCAGAGCGTTGAGCAGCCAGCTGCCTAACTGACTAAGAGATTGCTTCTCTGTGCAAAGCTGAACTCGTCACAAACTACCTGGATCCATCATCCTTGGATCTCAAGGAACATATATGTGTGTATATAAATAATAACGTGTCAAAAATAATGTGTCTGTATATATACATATACACACATACATACAGTATATATATATTTTTTCCTTAATTCCTAAATGCTTCCTATTTCTTCTTTTTTTTTAAATATGAAATGCTTCATGAATTTGCATGTCATCCTTGCACAGGGGCCATGCTAATCGTCTCTGTATTGTTCCAATTTTAGTATATGTGCTGCTGAAGCGAGCACTAGTTCTTCATTTGTAATGTAAGGCTTAGAGAATCTAGACAATGTACCCATATAAATAGCTGATTCTAGTAATTAATGTTTCAATCCATGTTGAGTAAGCCCTCAGAAATTCTGCAGTAGCTTGGAGTCATAAAAAATTGACAGGATGATACTAGTGTGGATACTTAATTCAGCTATGTTGTACCAACTCCATCAAGGTCAGAAGACTGGAATAAGTGAAAAAAACATCCACACCTACTCATTAGGCTCTTGGTTTGACAATATTTTGAGAACCCAGATCCATAAGTAGGCAAGACAGAAGGAAACAGATTTTTCAGTCCTTTAGTAGTCCTATTAGAATAATCGCTAGGTGAATGCAGCCAAAAGGCTGGCAGGTCCAGAATTTTCAGGCACTACTGGTAGAAATTTCATCAAGTGTATCTTCTCTCTGAGAAATAGTCTCTTGCTTCACATGGAAATATCACTAACTCACCATGCAGACTTCTTATGGTCTCAGAAACAGACAACGTAGGCCTTTCTCAAGAAGAAGCTTGCCTAATGATACCAACGATATTGTTCTTAATTTTATTAGCACTCTGTAATTTTCATCAGCTCCAGGTGAACTAAGAATTATGTGAGTCCCAGTCCCTGAGACAAGTCTTCTGTATCCATCTTTCAAAATTTATTTTCATTTGCCACTCTCTTGACAGATTTGCATGTGACAATCAGTGCTTTGCCTTGCAGTTACTCTTTGAGAGTTCAGCCTCAAATAATACTCACTTAAATGAGCCAACTTTGAGCATCATTTTTTTTTGCATTTAAATGCACAATACAGGGTGGGAAGGGACAGACTGGGATTTCAAAATGTAGAATAGATAAACAAAATTATACTGTATAGCACAGGGAAATATATACAAGACATTGTGGTAGCTCATAGTGAAAAAAATATGACAATAAGTATATGTATGTTCATGTATAACTGAAAAATTGTACTCTATACTGGAATTTGACACAACATTGTAAAATGACTATAACTCCATAAAAAATGTTAAAAAACAGAATAAACAAACAAACAAACAAACAAATAAATGCACAATGAATCATTCCATCTTATCTATATTTTGCTCTTCATCATCCCAGCACTTAAGTCTTGGGTTCCTTGCAGTATCACCTGCCAGCCCCGCCTTGGGCACAAAGTTTCTCTCTGTTGGTACTTTGCTCAATGAAAAACCGTCCTGCTGAAAATTCCTTCAGCTGTTACTTTACCACAGAGCACTCTGCAAATTAACATGTCTTCAGAGATATCATGATCATAGCTATGAACACAGCTAACAAAAATCACTGAAACGGCCAGATTTTCTCAACCTCCATTTCCCAATCAGTTGTTCAAGGATGTCTTTTGAATATATTGTAATTGATCCTTGGATTCATTCTCTGAGTTACTAGGGGCGCCTTTCCAGCCTGGCTACCTCCTTTTGACCTAAAACAGATATTGCGAGGTGGGGGAGGCAGAATTGCCACATTTGTCTCCATTCACATGCATGTCATCTAAGGCAATACTAAAGCTAAGCTGGACAGAAATTTGAGGCAATTTTAAATTGGTCTAATTGTGATTTTCACTGAAATGTCCCCAATCTGGGAAGTGAAAAGGGGAAGGTTTAAAATGGAAACTAAAAAGAAATAAAATAAGAGAAAAAAATATCAGTTGGAAAAAATTTCGAGTTCTTTAGACATGAGATAGGAAAGAATATTACTTCCACACTGAAAACAAGTCAAAATCTGTAGAAAGAAAAAAAATTAAGGGTAAGTCTCCTTGTCCCCTACCTAACTCCCACTTCCCAAATGGAAACCATTGTTAATGATTGCATAAATCTCTCTCAAGAAAAAAAGGATCCATTTAACATCATGTATATATTTGTTTTCATTTATATGAATGAGATTATGCTATAAATATTGGTCTGTTCCTTGAGTTTTTTCATTTATTAATATGCCTTGGAGATGCTTCCAAACCAACATATGTAGATACATCTCATTATTTTTATTGGTAGCACAGTATGCCATTGTATGGATGTACCATTATCTAACTAGCTCTCTAATGAAGACTTGAAGGACAGGGAGTAAGCCACACAGATTCCTGGGGTAAGAGCATTCCAGGTGAAGGAAAACCCAGCGCAAAGACCCTGAAGTGGGAGTGGGAATAGCAAATTCAAGATGCAGCAAGGAGGAGACCAGTGGGGCAAGAAGAGTGAGGGGAAATGTTAAGCAATGAGGTCACAAATTAAGCCAGTTCACCATCAACCTGTTGACCCTGAGAACAACCACTCAGAGGTCATACCCACTATCACAAAGACTGAACCCAGAGGTTCTCAACCAGGAGTGGTCATTTGTTTGTTTTTGGCTCCCCTCTTCCCCGGGAGACATTTGTGCAATGTCTGAAGAGAGTTTTGGTTGTTAACAACTGGGAGGCGGGATCACTAATCCAGAAATGCTGCTAAACATCCTACAAAGCACAGAACAGCCCCCACCACAAAGAATTATCCTGTCCAAAAAGTCCATAGCACCAAGGGTGAGAAATCCTGAATTCAACATAAAATGGAGAAGTCAAAAAAGGCAGTTGGATATACAAGTCTGGAGCTCAACAGAGTAGTCTGGGCAGGAGATGTGTATTTGGAAATCATGAACAAATAAATGGTGTTCAAAGCCTTGAGACTGAATGAGATCAGTGGGGAATAAGTGCAGATAGGGCAGAGGTGTGTGTGCCTGGGGGACTGAAAGGGACAGGGAGGAAGGGCTGAACTGGCCAAAAGGCTGAGAAGAGAAAACAACAATGAGGATTGAGGAGGAGGTAGCAGGGGGTTAGGAAGATGTGAGATAAAGCCACCCAGGACAGTGGGAGAGTAAACAGACTAGGGAATTCCATTCAGCGCCTATGGGAGGTGAAGAATTTAAAACGAGACTGTCATTCAGCTACAGGTACAAAGTTCGCAGAGAGATTTAACCAGGATTGTGGCTTTGCCAAACAAGTAAAATAAGCCACCAGGGGCCATGGAGTGGAGGGTGTGTGTAGGGAGTAACTCTAATGATTAACTATGGAACTTAAGCTTTGAAAGTAAGAATACATCAGAAAGTTGAGAGGCAGAGAAAAGGTAATAGTGTAAGCAGATAGGGTAGGGGGGTCCCTGGAGAAAGAGAACCAGGCATGGCTTTCTTGACATAAGAGAAGCCATTTTGGCCTAAGTCATTTTGTGATCTAAGTCTGACCACAGTGCTTGTCCTTGAATAGGTCTCCGTAATTAATGATCTTAAAGTGAGGGAATGCAGAACAAAGGAAAAGCAGTCAAGAAACAACAGTTCAGTGATAAAAGAGTCCCAGCTCCTCCTCAAGGGATATACGTAACAAATCTGATACAGTCTTTGAGTTCTGCAGGAACTAAGGTGCCCACCCAGGTGGAGGTTGGAATGACAATGCTGGCCCTCCTGACTTCAGTCAGCTAAAGCTTGGACTCCTTCAGTCTTGGCTCCAATTCTATGCTGAATTCTCCTCTGCTCAAGCTCCTTCATGAATATGCATATACCCTCAGCTTAAAACTTCCCCAGTTTTGCTGTGGGGGAGACACTACTTTGGGCAAGAGATTTATGTTCTCCTTACTTGTAGCAAGCAATAAACCCTTCCTTTTCCTGATTGTGACTTGGTCTTTGGATTGACACCCACCAAGAGGCGAACCCAGTTTTCAGGCAACAGTAGGATCAATGGATTGTAGACTGGGGGGAACGGGAAAACTGCTGAGGCTGGGATACTAGAGTGAGTGAGGGAGGGTGATTAGGAGAGAGTGATCAGAGTGGGATGCATGCAGCTGAGATTATGAGGGTTGCAATGATTGGTGTTGGAAAAAACCTAAGGCGTGAGTGATTGAAGTAGAGGAGAGTTTATGAAACTGAGAAGCCAGAGGTTGGAAAATCATCACTATGTGTGTACTGAAATTATGACGGCAGTAGTGCAAAGAGTGACAGGGAGCAAAGGGAGCTAAAATCTTCCAGAAATAAGGTGGAGTAACCCAGGGGTTAGTGGAGGATTCTAACCCCGGAGAAAAAGCAGGTCATAAAACTACACAACGGAGAGAGATGGCCCCCCTTTTGCACATATGTTCTAAAATAAAAATATATTATTTCTCTGATAAGAAAAAATTAACTGTAAAAAGTGTAGGTCCATATCAAACACTGTTTGGAAAAAGCCACACATTTAAATACATACATACACACACACGCGCACGTGCACATTTATATATATATATGATAAGATTCTTTGATACAGATTCTCCAGTTGAGTTACATGCTTCAGAATAAAGATGTTAAAAATAGTAAGAACTTTCTTACAAATAAAGAGTAGCACTAACGAGGTATAATGTAAATATTCTATTAAAAATTGGGGAGCTACAGAATGTTGTTCTATCTTAATAAACAACATGAAACATAAACTGTATCTATGCAAAATTCAAATTATTATTTTACTAAGTGCTGCTATCAAAAAAACAGGATAATGGTTTTATTGGTGAGTAAAAGTGTTACATCTGAATCTCTCTCCTCTTGTGAACATGTTATCATGTACCTTTGAAATAGAAAATTAGGAAAACATTTAATTCTTCCAGTTTCTGGAGCTCCAATTTTCATGGGAAGTGAAGAGAGAGAGGAGAAAGAAAAGAAACAGGAAAAGTATGTCTTCAGAAGATCTTATCCACCCCTCTGGGTAAGTCAAATTCTTTTGGTTTTCTAAAGCTTTAAATGTTGCCGAATACCAACTGTCTATGTTTTCTCCTTTCAACAGTGGGCCTTGGCCTACCCTCAGAAACCCCTCAAAGCCAGAAGAGAGAAAGCAGGAGGGAAGGAAAGTGGCAGAGGCTGAGGCAGAATGATTTTGCATTGCCAGAATGGTTTCATACGTCGCCTGGCTACCTGACACCAAGCCATAAAAGTCTAAGTATAATTTAGTGCTTGTATTCAGCCACTGAAGCAGACAGGATAAGATTTACCCAATGAACATTTACCATTCTGTTCTGCTTCAAAGCCGTAATTTGCAAAGCCATAGGAAGGGTTCACGGGTTGGATCCAACATATGCTCATTCTGCTGAAGATTTCTTGTCCATCCTAATAATCCCAACCCCTTCTATTTAACTCAACCTCCAGAGGCAATGCAGCTTCTCAGGTTATCACCAGATTATTCTGATAAGGTTGTGAAGATTGATATTATTGCTAGTTCCTTTATAAATGGAAGATATTAAGGCCCAAAGCCTCAAATAACAAAGCCCAAGTTCCAACTCTGGCCTTTGAGCAGGGACAGTGCTCTGCCCTTCCCTTGAAATTCACCCTTGGTCTCCACCCACTGAAACCCTGTCCCTCATTCAAGGTCAGAGGCACAAGGGAGACTGGAAAGAGCACCAAATTTGGGCTCAGAAGCCCTAGTTAAAAGTATTGCCTCACCTGTTTATTGGCTATGTGCCTCTGAACCAGTTACTGACTCTATTCACCTCAGTTTACTCATCGGAAAATAGGGAAAATATCCGTTTTTTGTCTATTTCAGAATGTGTGGAAAGAATAAGCAGGAGAATATGGGGGAAGCTGATGGTAAACTATGAAGAGCCACATGGATGTTATAATCATCCAAGCAGCTTGAGTCCTACTCAATCCAAGGAGCCTTCTAGCCTTTCAGTCCCGCCCACCCTGAGCTCTCCTCTGGCAGTTCCTGCTACATTATTTATCTCAGCACTTGATCTATTTGCTCTTGAATTGTTACTTCAATATTTCCAAGTCAGGAACGCCTTCCCTCCACAGAGCCTGGCCCAGGGCTGTAAGCCCAGCAGGGCTCTATGTTCTCAATGTCACACATAGACTGGAGGTACAGTCTCACTCTCCTGGACCAGAGTGCTCATTTCTACAAGAAATTCTTGAAAAAGCTTCTCAATGGTATATAGTTATACTCACGCTCTAATAAGGGTACTTAACTACTCACTGAAAGGCTGAGTTTTCTCTTTAAAAGTACCAAATAAACTGCTTAAAGAGACCAGAAGCATGGCCCCATCACAGGTAAGACCCCAAGCTGGGGGAATCCCGCCAGGAGTCCCCAGAGAGGGGAAAAAATTTTTTTGCCCATGTATTCGCTTTAGGTTAAGGAGGTCTCACAGGGAAAAATCTTGCTGGACATATTTGTAAATGAGGCAGCCCTTTGTTCCATTTCTGTAGGAAATAAGGCCTCCTACAGGTTTTCAATTTCTCCTAGGGAAAATACTCTCTAAGCATATAGAATATTTCCCCCAGGGCCTCTTGGTATCTTTCCCACCCAAAGCCACCTTCTGGTAGTGCCTTACCTGATCTCTGCAAACCAGTGTGCTGGCGCTTGACCGTGGTTTGGCTTTAAACGAGTAAGTGGCCATTCGCTTATTTAACAAGTCCAAGAAGTCAGGAGGCATGTACTGAGGGAGGTCATTTGGTACTGGATCATTTCTTTGCACAAGAGATGGTTTCTTCCTTCCTTCATTTTTAAAACTATAGGTTGGTATCACTGGATTTAATAGAGATTCTTCAATAAAAGTTTTCAAGTGGTAAGTTCCAGGGTTAGGGGTTTTCTGTGAAGAATTGACATCATTTTTCAGGTCAGTGTATAAACAGGTATCATCTCTTAAAGCATCATTCTTGGAAAGGTCACTCTTAAGTAACATTTCTCTTTGTTCTATAGTGTAATAAAATTCTATCAAATAGAGTAAACACTCTTGACAGAACAATATTTCAAGACAATCACAATTGTTTATTTCCTTTCTGAGATAATTGCTAAATTATAGCGAAAGAGGTATGGCCATTTGAAGTTATAACTTTTTAAAAAGTAACTTCAGAGATAACTTAAGCTTGAGATTCAATTTGACTATGAATTTCAGGCCTCTTCTGAGACCCCTCAGGATAAGTTTCGTGACTAAGCAGAAGAAGTTATTCTACTTCTGCTTAGTAGATACTGCGGGTTTCTCTCTAGCCCTCAGGTGGGAAGCTACAAGATAATAACACAAGACTGAGGATGAATTAGCAGAGCGTATGGTCTAGTTAGTCCTATAAGAGGTTTGGTACTTTCAAATCATAACCACAATGCAACTGAATGGCCAGACCTGATAGCTGAGTCACTGCTGCTTTTGTAGCCATCTTTCCACTGAGCACTCAGCTCAGTTTCACCATTAAAATTAATTCAATGCCAAGAAAGCTTTGGCCCTTGGGGCTCCTGTTATAGAAGGGCGTAGATAGAAAATATTTCTGCCTTATAGAAACAATGTCCTTTAGAGAGGGATCAGTCATTATTCTTTCATAAATAACCAACTTGCCTTCGAATGTTGACCATGTTAACAAAAGCTATCGTAGGCTCTATATCATCTAAGTAAGATAAAAACCGAAACCAAACGCCGTTCCTGAAAGCATGCTTTTTTGTCCTTGTATAGTCTCATCAAGATCATAAGCTAGGTTGACTTTATCAAGATATTCTCTAAGACACCTAGATTCCTAGAGCTGTTTTACTTCTAAGCTTTTACTGCATTCAAAATTTAAAGTTAGTTCCTCAGTCATATACTGATACTAAAATTGTAAGCATGAAATGAGGCCTATGCAGACTTCAACGACGGTTGTTATCTTACAGCTAAGTGTTACTGACTTAAAAGGTAAGGCTGATTAAAATACTAATAGGAATAAGAACAATTTGAATAGCAAAGAATAAAAATACACATACTGTTAATGCTGTCCTCCACCATCCTTCTCTCTCAAAAGATGATGTCTTCTGAGTTGGTTTCTATTAACAAACATAAAATGTGCTTATTCATTTGAGAAATGATCTCTGGAAGTTACATATCACTTATAAAACATTTACTTGAAGAAATTAATACCTGCCCCAAACTGGTCAGCCTGAATTAAAATAAAAGCTACATAATGATAAATTTTGCCTGTGACATTTCCTTAAATTGCTATTTTATGATCTTAAGTGCTTTTTAATTATCTATATACCCTTTGGGCAAATTAGAGTAATAAACACCCCTATCTCATAGAGATGTCATCAGAATAATTAGCGGTGACAAAATCTGGTGCTGTTAGGAAGAAGAGTTCTGTCAACCCAAAATTGTATTAGTATAATTGTTATTTACATTTATGGCTCAGGGAGCTCAAGGTAAAAATGTAGAGCCATCAAATTAATGTGCTATGGTGATATGGCAAATGTTGACAACTGCCATTTCTTGGATTTATATATGCTATCCAATATGCATCACATGAGCCAACTGTGACCTGAAGAGGCAGAATGATGGAGGAGCCAGACAGACTTGGGCTTAAACTCCAGCTTGGCCACTAGTTAGGAGCGCTAGGCAAGTTAACCCTTGAGAATCTCAGCTTCCTCTTGGGAGTACAAAATGAAGGCACCAGGGTTGGCATGAGAACAAGGCATCATAAAGACCTATACACATAACCAGGGTTCAGTAAAAGGTAGCTTTTATTTTTAACATCTCATCTGCCAAGTTAAGAAGCAGATTATTTTGATATTCCTCAGTTTCCAAAGACGATCTTGTCTTCCATAGTAACTATTTATTATTCCCACATTTGTTTCAGCCTCACTGTCAACAAACACAGTTATTTTAGCTTTTTCTTTGGGGGCTATTTCCACTGGGTAAAATCATGAAAATACAGAGTTCTAGTTTAATTCAGAGTGTGTTTGTTATTACTACAAAATATAGGTTATCTCAAGCAATAAGACATTAAAAATAAGAAACTAATCAGTAAATTGATATAATTCACCCTTCCTGTCTAGCAACTTATATCCACTTTACTTATAAGTACCCCTGGGCTTTAGTTTTACTATGCAATACATGCATTTCTCTAAAAAAAGCACTGTTTCATACACACTGCTAAGTCTGAATTTCTTCCTATACATTCCCTTTATTAAATTTATGTTGAATCTTCTCTAAATGTGTTGTTGCACATTTATAGTCACAGAAATCAAACTTTTTCAGGCAGGTCAAGACAGGTCTCCACCTCTACCTGGGGCCAAGGAAATGAGCTGGAAAGAAGGAGAAGTAAACATGTAGCATCTAAAGGAAGGTAACAGGCAACTGCTGTTTTGTTTTGCCCAAGACAGGTGATCTAAACTTTACCTATCTCCCACTTCATATTCACTGTAGGGATGAATCACTTTATACAAAATAAGCTAAACATCCCTTGCCCAAATTTATTTAAAAATTAAAAGAACGGTAGTTTGAAATATTTTTATACACACTAGAATAGGAAGCAGAGCAAAAATGTGTCCAATAGACTAAAGAAAGAGAAACTCTCTTGGCAGACAGAGGGGAAAATGAAAGAAATCTGATAATCCTATTATGGCCGTTGTCCAGCGCGATTAGTAAGTAGTAGGAAGGAAAGAAAGAGCAAATGGGAAGGATAAGGGAGAACGAAGGAAGAGGAAAGAAAACGAAGTGGCGCTCAAATACGGATCAGGAAAAGACTGCAGGTGTAGCTGTGAGGGCCGGGAGAGAAAGGAAGACCCAGAGAGGTGAACGGGGCCGGGATTAGAGAGAGGTGGGATTTTGGGGGGAGGAACCAGGTGACAGGAACGGTGTTGGGGTTGGAGGTGGAGGGTAATGTTCAGGGAGGAAGGCGGTCCCAGGGTCAAGGAACCACAACCGTCACGGCTCACGTCTTCCCTTACTGCAGTGGAGGTGACGGTGATGATTCGTTTGTCCATGGCGTCTCGTCGCTCTCTAGGCCGAGGCTGGCGTCCGGTTGCCAGAAGGCGCCTCGGGCCGCCAGCTCCCGAGCGTGCGCAGAGGGCCCGCCAGATTTGTCTCCAGTGGTGGGGGAAGGGAGGCGGGCACACATTCGGAGGGCCCGCGAGAAGCCTCGCACCAAGGACATCGCTGGAGACTGCTAAGCACACGCGTGCTAAGAAAATCTACAGGGTTCTGGAGTCACCAGACAGCCCTGGGGTAAGTATGTGAGCCAAGGGAGGCTTATAAGGGCTAAAACGTCCCATGGGCTCTCTCCATCAGGCCTTTCCCCAAATCACTTCCATCCCATACCCCAGGCAAGGAGACAACATGCTTGGTAAGCATACTTAGATTTAAGGCAAAAGTCGGCCTTAACACCACTTTCTCAGATTATTTCTAATTGTTTTTTAAAATTGAAGTAGAGTCAGTTACAATGTGTCAATTTCTGGTGTGCAGCACAATGTCCCATTCATGCATATATTTGTTTTCATATTCTTTTTCATTACAGGCTATTACAAGATATTGAATAGCTCCCTGTGCTATACATAAGAAATTTTTAAAAATCCACTTTTACGTATAGTGGCTAACATTCGCAAATCTCAAACTCCCAAATTTCTCTCTTCCCACCCTCTTTCCCCTCTAAGATTGTTTCTAAAATTCCTCCACATGGAAATTCTGGGACTGTCACTTCTCTTTGAGAAGTGGAGTGAGCACTAGACCCAACAGGCTGTGAAATCACGGACCAACCTTTACCATCTGTAGACCCTTTTCATTTTCAACCTCTCTTGGCTGTAGCTTCTTTAACTATCAACATTCCCATCTTTAAGAACAAACCATCCTCTCAACCTTACCAGTTCCATTTTATGGAGTATCTCCTGTGTTCCAGATATTTCACATATATTAAATCCTCAAACAACCCTGGGAAGTAGGTATTAATCCCACTTTATGAATGAGGGAACAGGCTTCCTTGGACAGTTTAGTACAGCTGACTGAATCGCACAGCAGTGGCAGAGCCAGAGTCCAAATCCAGATATGACTCCATACCTCACTGTCCACTACACCATGGAGTTTCTGCTTCCTTTCACAAACTTTGAAGAGTAACGTGGACTCAATTCTTTTGTCACTTCCCGTACTTTCTTAGAACCATCTTAATCCAACATGTGCACATACCTTTCAGTTAAAATTACACTTCCTAGTCAGTGATCCAGTTGCCAGATCCAACAGTTTTCAAGCTCTTAGCAAACTTGACCTCCATCACTGCTAAATTGATTACTCCACTCCCTCATTTTTGAATCCCTCTCCTCCCTTGACTACCAACCAGGATTTGAAAGTTGACTTCATTTGCTTTGCTATAATCTATTGTGCTTGTCTATAAAGAGGTGATAATTGGTAACTACTTGGGGTGATTATGAAGACTGACTTGAGTGAAATGTTTGAACTGTGTTTAGCACAGTGCATTCAATATAGATTATCATTGTCTTTAGGACACAAGCAAAATTTACAATCTGGTCTCATCTCCTTCCCCTCATTAGAACCTCATGATCTGATGTATACTTGCAAATCTTAAACATGCTTACCTTCACACTTCTATTGTCTCCCCACATGATAGCCCTTCTGTTTGAACTGCTTATTCCCTTCTTCCATGGCCTGGCAAACTTGAAGGGTCAACTCCTATTAGGCCTAACCCCTCAAACCCCAAAGAGGTGCGTATCTTTATTGTTGGACTCATTGTGACAAATTGTGTCTCCCCTAATATTAAATATATCCAAAACACAAGTTTTCATCTTTATTCTAAATCCTTTGAACACAGAATAATTTAAATATTTGTTGAACGAGTAAGTTTTCCTTTTATAAATAAAACCAGAGGATGGATTATAGCAGTGCTTTCCCAAAATTGTGCATACACAATATCTGGAGATATTGTAAAATAGATACTGATTGAGAATTTGGGATAGGGCCTAAGACTCAACATTTTGAACAAGCACTCAGGTGACTGTGAGTGACTTTTTGAGTAGCAAGAGACAGGACCTCATTAAATTTCTCTTAAAATACTGGGAGTTCTAAATTCATTTAACATAGACTCAAAAACAGAAGGGGTTAAAAAAAAAACAGGAAAAAAAAAAAAAAAAGCCAGGCACCAGGTTTGAAACCAAGAACTGAAATATTAAGACCAAGATGCAAATAAAAAACAGAACTTTCACAAAAGTAAGTGATTAAGCCAGTCCACCACTGTGCCTCATTTCATTGTCTTCTTTTGGCTGAGCCTGTAAAACTGGCTCAGCAAACCAGGGACTGGTACCCTAGAGACTATGCATGATGAAAGATACATTGAAGTCCAGAAAGCCATATAAAGTGTGAAATATAAGGGAACATCTAGATGAGAAAATAGTTTTGAGTATCTCAAAAATAGAAACAGCATGGGTCAATGATTTCAAGGACTTTACCAATAAAACAGACTAGTAAGTATGTAGAATAAACAAAATGTCCCCTTAAGAAAACATTGTCTACCAGTGACATTCTTCCCAGAGCTGGAACAAAAAATGCTAAAATCTGTATGGAAACACCAAAGACCCCAAATAGCCGAAACAATCTTGAAAAAGGAGAATGGAGCTGGGGGAATCACACTCCCTGGCTTCAGACTATACTACAAAGCTACAGTGATCAAAACAGTATGATACTGGAACAAAAACAGACACAGGATAGAAAGTCCAGGAATAAACCCACGCAATTATGGTCAATTAATCTATGACAAAGGAGGCAAGAATACACAATGGAGAAAAGACAGTCTCTTCAATAAGTGGTGCTGGGAAAACTGGACAGCTACCTGCAAAAGACTGATATTAGAACATTCTCTAAACACCATATACAAAAATAAACTCAAAATACATTAAAGATCTAAATATAAGACCAGACAGTATAAAACTCCTAGAGGAAAACATAGGCAGAACACTCTCAGACATAAATCACAGCAATATATTTTTTGAACCAGCTCCTGACATAATGGAAATAAAAGCAAAAATAAACAAATGGGATCTAATTAAAGTTAAAAGCTTTTGCATAGCTAAGGATATGATCAACAAAATGAAAACCTACAGGATGGGAGAAAATATTTGCAAATGATGCAACCAACAAGGGACTAATTTCCAAAACATACAAATAGCTCATACACCTTTGCATCAAAAATAACAAGCAACCCAATCCAAAAATGGGCAGAAAACCTAAACAAGCAATTCTCCAATGAAGATATACAAATGGCCAATAGGCACATGAAAAATGCTCAGCATCATTGTCAGAGAAATGCAGATCAAAATTACAATGAGACATCACCTCACACCAGCCAGGATGGCCATCATTAAATACAAACAATAAATGCTGGAGAGGGTGTGGAGAAAAGGAAACCCTCCTACACTATTGGTGAGAGTGTAGGTTGGTGCAGCCAGTATGGAGGACAATATGGAGGTTCCTTAAAAAACTAAAAATAGACTTACCATGTGATCCATCAATCCCACTCCTGGGCATACACCCACAGAAAAATAAAATTCAAAAAGACACCTGCACCCCAATGTTCATAGCAGCACTATTTACAATAGCCAAGACATGGAAACAACCCAAATGTCCATCAACAGATGACTGGATAAAGATGTGATACACACACACACATATATATACACACACATAATGGAACACTATTCAGCCATAAAGAAGAATAAAATAATGCCATTTTCAGCAACATAGATGGACCTGGAGATTGTCATTCTAACTAGGCCAGAAAGAGAAAGAAAAATGCCATATGGTATCAATTATATGTAGAATCTAAAAAAAAAAAAAAAACAACATATATGAACTTACTTATAACTTGGATGATTGACTTCTTAAATGTGTAAGCACACTGGACTGTCCTTATGACTGGATTACAGCATTCTGTTAATTTTGTGGTTGGCTTTATTCCTTTGATAACTATGTAAGTTTAAAAAGCTAAAGCTCTAATCTAGTCTTAGAAACAGTGATTAGTACATACATGTAAACAAAAAAAAGTGCAGTATACTGTATTTACATGCAACATAATGAATATGTGCAAACTATAATTTACCTAATAAAACTGAAAAAGGGGGGGGGGGATATTGTCTTGCATAGCATCACTGAGAAAAGTTTAAGCAGGTTACCATAACAGCAGTTTTAAAAAGGGAGGATGCATTTCTCTTTGAGAATACAAGACTACACTAAGTGGAGATCAACAGTACTTTTGCTGTGCATCAGATCTTGAAAAAAAATTCTAGGTGAAATACTTCCTATTCTAGGATTATTTTTAACTGCAACAGTGAATAGCTTTGGTTAGAATTATCTGAAAACAGACATGCTACAGATAGTATTTAGAAAAAGAATGATCAATTACCATGATCTCCTGCTAATATAAAACAGGTAATATGGTTAAGATTTGAAAATAAGGTTTTAAAATTATAGTTGATTCAAGTAAGATTATGCAGTACTTACTGTGACTTTTGCCAGAATTACAGTAATATAAAGTAAGCAACAGGACACAAGAAAGTACCCCCAAGTGTTTCTCCCTTTCCACCTTGTTATCAACATTACTTCAAACTACTGGAACTGGAAAAACACCAAGAATAACTTTGCCCAATTCCCTCATTAAAGGTCATAACTGATTTAACAGCTTAAACACTTATTACAAATGCCAAGAACTATGCTAAGTGCTTCACCTAACATTATTGTAAAAACCAAGTTAAAAACCAGTTGAGTAAATACACCCATTTTATGGGTAAGATAACTCCGGCTCAGGTAATACTGACCTCTTCAAGGTTATATACAGCAGTGATGTGAATACTGCTGCAATAAAACCCCAAAGCCCATGTTTAGTATTCTGGAGATTACTGTGCCTCAACAGCTAGACACAAGAACCTCCCACCAAATGCCATGTTTGGCCTTTCTTTTGACTACACTCCTACATGTAATGAAGTACTTTCTATTTGACTGCCCACCTATTATGTAATTCCCTGTTAGGATTATCAATGCCTGTAAATTCCTTTGTCCCATCTAAAATATACTTAACTCTTTTCTTTCACTAACCATCCAGTTTTCTATTTTCTGGTAGAACTAAATAAGAACAGGGGTATTAGTCAAAGATGGGCAGTAACCTGCCAATTGCCTCCTGGGAAATTAAAAACCTTCTGGCTCTAATAATCAAGTAACAATTATACTTAAATGTCTTAATCTTGGCTCTGCTTTGCTATGGACTCTTTCATTAAGTACTTAAAACGTAGTCAGAAAAAAAAAACCCTGATAATCACCCTTTTGAGTAGCTTAAATTATAGAGAAAGC